GAGCAGTCAGAGAAAGAAGGTGACACTCTGGAAGAACAGGAAGGTTTTGCCACCTGCTCATTTCTGCCTGTCAGTCTGGAGCAGGTGTGTGTGCTTGGGGACACCATTCCATGTATGACCTTACCTGCAAAGGAGTATGGGAAATGTAGTTTTCAGCTTTCTGGTGTCTAAGTACCACAGGGTTAATTAAGAAGTGCTGCAATAGACACTGACGAGGTAATTTACAATATCTGCCATAGAGCAGATCAGGGGAGTTCAGTGGGAGAGAAGCAATAAAGACTGGACTCAAGACCTGATCACGGGTCACACTGGCTTGTCTGACATGGCTCTGACATTTGCTAAAATGAAATAATAAAATAAAATTTAGAAGCTCTAATGCCAGGAGCTGAGATGTCCACAGAAGCCTGTACTCTTCAGACCACTCCTAGACCACACCTGTAAGTGCTGGGTGCCAGTTGAAGACACACATGATACTGGCACGCTGTGTTTGTGGGAGGCAGTTAGGAAGACGTCTGGACCCTGTTGTACGAACCATCGGGACATCTCTCCCCTTCAAAGCCTATATCCAGTGTTTCTTCCCCTGAAATACTTTCACTTCTGTCCATTCCTCTCCATCACCCCGGTAGGCCAGGCCACTTTCCTCTCTTGCCAGGACCTTCCAGTAAAATTCTGACAGGTCTTTCTGTATCCACTCTTGCCCTCTACCAGCTATTCCCCATACTGCCAATAGCACAATCTTTTCAGAGCCCATATATAATCATGGCTGCCCTTCCATGGCCTCCTCTGCTCTTTGGATCAAAGCCATAATTCTTAAAGTGACCCCTTCCAATTCCTCCAATCTAACCGCCAGCCCCCACCCCAAGTCTGGCAGTTAGCATGGTTTTTGGAACCTCCTGGTTCATAGGTCCACACTCAACCACTGAGCCACGCCAGCTGGGCAAGCTGCTCTTATTCACTATGGTTTTCCCACCTAGCACAGGACCTACCTCTTCAATAAAATTTGACCAAATAAACTTAAAAAAAAAAAAAGCAATCCCCCTGCACAGAAAGGAGTAATAAAGAAAATGTGTTCTACTACCACCTTGAGACCTCAATTAATGTGCTTTTTCTCCTCGTGAATCCTTGCTTCCAAACAAACAGAACCTGACAGCCCGAATTAAATCATTTATCTTTCCAGCTCTCTGCCTTGGCTCGATCACCAGCGAATGCACCCTGATATTTCATCAGAAACTGGCAAAAACAAACACGATGGCCCAGCACCTTGACTTTATGTGTGCAACCCATATACATACATACCCGGGAGAAATGCTCGTCTCCAACCCTTCTTTTACCCGGGGTTAAATGCCCGATTACCAGATTTGATCCTTTTGTTTTCTCATGTAAACCCTACAGAGCCTGTATCTGGGTGTGTGTGTGCGTGCGCATGCGCACGCCAGCCCTCGCGCCAACCACATTATTCACCTCCATCCATGAATTACACAGTGCAAACAGCCTTAGCAGGAAAGAACACGACCAGAAATGCAGAAAACTTCTGCTAAATGTTATGTTCCAGCTCCTTCTGACACACTGTAATGCCTTTTGATTTAGAGTGGCCAGCCATGGGCCGGGGAGGAAATACAGGCGCTTTCCACCCTGCCCCGCATAATTAAATGCCTAGATGAAGTTTTCCCCGGTTCTGCTCTCAGAGCCAAACAATGCTTGTTTGCATTCCATCATCATCTATAAACACCCACGGCCGGGAGAAGGCACCTTCGCTGTTCCACCGCTAAACCTTACATCAGTGCGCCCTGGACCGCATTGAAGCATACCAGGAGGGCCTCTGGTTAGGAAGCCCACGGTATTTATTTTTCTTTGAATAACAAAAATATCCTATTTGCAGCTCAGTATTTGGAAAGGGATAACATGGGTCTCTAGACACTCCATCGATCATCCCGCATCAGGTCTGTGGAATCAAACATCTTTTCTCCTTCAAACCTCCATCCCAGAGCTGCTAAGTAGTCACTAGAGAGAGTGGTTTGGAGGTAGCTTCTGCCACTTCCCCCGCTGGGATCTGGACGGGGGATCACAGGCAGGGCAAGGCATCAGAGCCAGGCACCAGGCGACTGACAGTCTCACCCAGCGTGGTGGTCGGACCAGGGTCTCTCAAGCTTGACCATGCACAGGAACCACCCAGGGATCTCGTCAGGATGGAGAGCCTGGCTTGGGAGGGCTGAGTTGGGGCCTGAGATTCTGCATTTTCTGGCAAGCCCCTCGGCGATGCTGATGCTACAGGCTGCGGGCACATGATTGCAGTGATGTGGCTTTAGACCTCAAGCTCTGAGTCAGATAGGCCTGACTGGGGACCGCCTCCTTGGTGGCTGGGGCCTCTTGGACAACATACTTGCCCTCTCTGAGCCCTGGATTCTTTATCAGTGTAGCAGCGATGATAGCACCTATCCGGCAGGTCGGCCAAGAGGGTTAAATTGTGGAATGCATGTGAGGGGCTGGGAGCAATGCCTGGCACATTATAAAAGCATTTGGAAAGTGTTACTTAGTGTCCCCTGGTGCAGAGGCCTCCTGTACTGACGAACACCAAGAGTGACAGCATCAAGACTAGAGCCCACTGCCCCTCCCACCTGGGAAGATGCCTTGCCCATTTTATTATTTCATTATTTTTTTATATTTTTTTATTAATTTTCTCATGACACAAAGTAATACTTGTTTGCTTTAAGAAAGAAAGGAGGAAGACAGGAAGGAAAGTAAAGTGTCTTGATTTAATTTTCTCATGACACAAAGTAATACTTGTTTGCTTTAAGAAAGAAAGGAGGAAGACAGGAAGGAAGGTAAAGAGGGAGAGACAGAGGGAAGGAGGAAAGAGCAAAATAAAATAAGAAAAAACATCCACCAGAGAGATCACATGACATTTTGGTCTGCATACTTCCAAGTCATATAAACACATCTATTTCAAATAATGGGATTATATTGTACATGCCATTTTACAATCTTTTATGTTCACTTGATACATCACAATAACAATAGAAACAACAGTAGTGTTATCCTATATAATAAAAGCCTAATATGCAAATTGACCGAACGGCAGAACAACCGGTGGAACGACCAGTCGCCATGACATGCACTGACCACCGGGGGGCAGATGCTCAATGCAGGAGCTGCCCCAGCCTGCAGGCCCCAGGCCAGCCAAGGCGGGTGCCAGCGGGGGCCCCCCAATTGCCCCACCAGTCGCCCTGAAGATCGACCCTGATCATTGCCAGGCCTAGGGATCCTACCCATGAACGAATTTCATGCACGGGGCCTCTAGTCAAAAATAACAACAGATCCTCTTTAGTAGGTTCTTACTATGTGTTAATGCCCCTCTCACACACAGTCAGTGTCTTAACTCATTAATTTTCACAACACTTTGATGGACTCTTATCATCCTCATTTTAGAGACAACAAAACTGAGGCACAGACAGTGTCACTGACCAAAGAGCACACAGCTAGTAAACAGGGAATTCAGGCTAAAGACCAGGCAGCTGGAAGCATAGCCTGGGCCTGTAATTTCTATATCCCCCATCCTTTGCAGGGTCACCCTGACAGGCTGTTTTATGGCCTGATTTTTTCCCCACTTACCACATCAGAATATCTCTTCCTGCCATCCCTGTGTTTGCACAACATCATTTTTTATGCCTGCATAGTATTCTGTTATCTATTTATGAACTCCATTTTACAAATGAGAAAAGTGAGGCTGGGAAGCTCAATAGATTGGCATAAATTAAGGGGAACAACCATGACCTGCCTGGGACTCTGGGTTCTGTTCACCCAACAGAGACACTGAGCACCTACTGTACGCAGGGAATTTGCTGGTCTCAGAGGAGAATGGAGGACCAATACAATTCTTACTGTTGTAAGAAGTTGCTGCCCAGTGCGTTGAGCCATGCAAAAAAACAAGTAAGCAAATACATGAACAAGATGATTTGAGGTTCTGATGTGTGAGAAAAACAATTCCACCACGCTGCGCGAGACTCTCAGGGCTACAGCTGCACACTGGCCCTGCGGTTACTGGCGTCCCTTATAAAGTCAGGATGGAGAGCGCAGCCAGCACATCAGCATGGGATCCGCTGGAGCAATAGCCACCTCGTCCCTGCCGAGCCTCTCCCTGCCCCGGCCTCCTGGTCTGTAACCTGAGGGACACAGTAGCAATGACCTCCCAGGAGGATGGTGACCATGAACTAAACTAAAGCTGCTGAGGTGCTTGAGGAAATGCTCAGCGGGTGGGGAGACACAGGTAGGGAGGGGCCGAAGGCGGAGCCCCTGACACTGTAACTTCCACGGGACAGGACCGTCCAGCGCAGCCCCTGGCCGAGCAGACCTGCCTCAGCACCTGCAGGGCCCAGCAAGGTGCCACCATCCTCATTCTCCTTTTCCAAACCAGATGACCCAGGGGCAGAGCTGTGACTGGCCCGAGTCTTTCCTTCCTGCACTGGCTCGAGTCTTTCCTTCCTGCCCGTGGGGTAGAAACTGGTGAGAGAGGTGGCAGAGGGGCCACAGAGCTTAGGAGGCGATCTTCCAAGGGCCTCTCCCAGCCCCGGGCGCAGCCATCTGAAGATTTTCGCCTCCCGCTGTCCTGAGCAGGTGGAAACAAAGTGGTCGAGAGGGGCTGAGGGCAGCCTGGAGGGACACAGGGCCTTGGTGGGCCCAGCCCTCCCGTGCCAGGCAGAGGGAGCTCCCTCCCTGGGGCTCCTGGGCACAGGAGAGCGGGACAGGGAATTCCCTTCTCTCACGGGCCCTGGTGTTGTTACCTTGTTCCTTCACTTCCCCGGGGGGACTTGCATGTGGCCTGAGCCTGGTGATCTCCGTCGCCAGAAGAAGGACTGGTCCAGCCAGACCGGCTCCATTCCCTTCCCTTCACCCTCTCGGACCAGACCAACCGGCCATTTTTTTCCTCTTGAATGTAAGAGCCTTGCAGACACAAAGATCCTTTTAGCTTTTAACATATTTAATAATTTATTATTTATCTGATATTTGGGTAAATGTATTCCTCAGATCGTGCCTCTGCATCTCCCCGCTTCCAATTTGCACCTACCTGACCCGGTTTCTGTTAAAGTCCACCTCCGCCCTCCAGGCAGGGTTTCCCCTTTAACACTGTGTTATGGTCCCCATGAACTGCCAGGCTTCGTGTGCCCGGGAAGATGGCTTTCTCCCCTTTCCCGTCCTCCGGCTCACAGGCATACAGATCGTATGTGTCACTAACACAGGGTTGGTTTTCCCTGCCTTGGTTCTTTTTTCAAACATGTTTGCCCTTCAGCCTGCTATTAACCAGTTTCTTCCTACTCTGAAAAACTTGCTCTTTTAAATGTCCTCATTCAGTGTTTTCCTCGGGGATTTTACCGTTTATTATGGAGTCAAAACCAATTTTGGAGCAATCATAGATACCAAATAGTTTCATGAATCTTTTGTACCCTCCACAGCTCCTGGCACAGGGGTGGGCACACAGCGGGGACCCAGTAAATACTTGTTGCGACCACGGTGGCCGAGAAGGGATGTTCAGAAAGGCAGGGTGGGGTGTGGTGGGAGTGTCGAGGTGCGAAATCAGACTGTGTTGGTCTGATTGCTGGTTTTGTCCTGCATTTGCTGTGTGATCTTAAGCAAGTTACTCAAATGCTCTGGGCTTCTTTTCTCAGCTCTAACATGGGACTGAGAGACAGTCTGCCATCTTCCAAGGCTTGTTGTAAGGATTAAAGAAGTAAAGCACTTACGATGTTTTCTGGCAGACCGCACTCTCAAAAAACAATAACTTTTGTTATCACTGACTGCCTACTATTTGCAAGGCCGATAGGTATTAGAGATAAACTTGAATCACAGGTAGAATCAGGCAAATCGCACCTCTCTCCTCTCCCATTTAAGAGCCACATCTGATAAAGGGAATAAGAGGATCTTGATCCTGGTTGTCTACAAAGCATTCAGCTGTGTGGAAATGGCCCATCCATGAATCCCAGAGTCACCCTGTCACATCTGTGTGACCTCAAGGCCAGCATCTGTAAAATGGGGATGGTACTTCGTCTCTTGCTGGGGAGAGAACCCACAATCTCTGCTCTCAAATCTATCACCTTCGTTCAAATAATTTCTTGACTCATTTGTCTAAAATGAATCACCCACAGACCAATGGGGAACAGTCGCTAAGGAGCCAACAATAGGAGCCATCCAGTCCTCTATCAGGATGGGTGGACTCGGGTGGCAGAGACAGCAATGCCCACTAGGGGGCGAGCGCGTTCATTCATTGTCCCCAGTGGTGGATCAGTCCCAGGATTGGGAAGGGAAGCTGGCATATCCTGGTACCTACTCCAGCCCCACCTGTGTGTGTATTACCACTGCCCAAGCTTGGGAAGTTGTATTAACCCCATATCGTACCTGGGAGATCTGAAGCTAACCTGCGCAGGATCACAGAGCTAAGAGGAGAAACTGCAATGGAACCCCAATTTCTTACTCTACCAGGCTGCCCCCCAGGACCCCAGGAGAGGGCTGCACTCAACTCTGCCTGGAGGAAGGGAAGGTGTGCAGAAACCTGAAATGTACACACTCACACAATGGTGTGCCCCGTGCATCTCCCCTATCACCACAAAGGAGCATCAGTTTAGGCCTACATTTCCCAAAGTGTGTTCCATAGAACATAAGTCCTTGGGGGGGGTGGGGGGTGCTCTCTGAAAAGGGTCTAGGGTTGTACAATCCATGAAATGTGACCTTCACTATTTTCTCTGAAATACAACATACACAGTCATTTGTTAAAGGTCCTGAGAAGTCCTGCAGCAAAGAAACGGGTCTGCTGGATTTTGTTGAAGCCGGTCAGCATTTCCTCGGCCTCTTTGACATCAGGGTTTTCACAGACATATGACATCCTTTAATGTTCACTCTGAGAAATGCTGGTTCTGTCAAATAAGGAAGAGAATGAAAGTGACGAGCTAAGACTTTAAACACTTGCATAGTGAATAGATACAGATGCCTCAAGGACAGAGAAAAATGTGTCCGTGCAAGATACATATGGGAAGTCCAAGTTATGAAACAAAAACTGAACCAGAACTGGAGAGAAACCTATAGTCTTTACATTATGCAAAACCATTTCAGCATTCGCCAGGACTCCCAGATAGAATCCAGAAGACAAAATAAATAAAATCGCCATCAAGTTGTTTCACACCAGGGGGCTCAGAGCTAAGGAATTAGCACAGAATGCGAGTTTATTCATGAAGTTGCTCTGTTCACTAACATAACCAGAGGTTTTGCTACGGCTGTGCATTTGAGTAGCTTAGAAGAGTGCAGTCCATGTAGCACTATTCATAATAGCCAAGACGTGGAAAGAGCCTGGGTGTCCACTGACAGATGAATGGATAAAGGAAATGTCACACACACACACACACACACACACACAAATACTACTCAGCCATAAAAAAGAAATCCTGGCATCTGGGACACCATTGATGGATCTGGAAGACATTATAGTAAGTGAAATATGTCAAACAGAGAAAGGCAAATAAATACTGTATGACCTCACTTATATGTGGAATTAAAAAAAAAAAAACCTCATAGAAAAGAGATCAGATTTGTGGTACCAGTGATGAGAGGTGGAGGGTGGAGGAATTGAATGAAGGTGGTCAAATAGTACAAACTTCCAATCACAAGGTAAGTAAGTACCAGGATGTTCTGCATGACATGATGACGTCGTTAACACTCCTCTATTTGAAAGTTGCTGAGTTAAACCCTAAAGGTTCGCATCACAAGGAGAAAAAGATTTTTATAAATATATGAGGTGGTGATGTTAACCTATTGTGATAATCATTTACCACTAAATACAGGTCACTGTGCTGTCCACCTGAAACTTATACTGTGCTGTGTCTCAATCACATCTCAATAAAACTGCAAAAATGTAAACCAGTACTTAAAGGATTACCAGTAAAATAAAATTGAGAACTGTAAATAGATTGATAGATAAAAGTTATCAACACACACAGAGAAGGAAAAAAAAGGAAAAAAAAGGAAAGAAAAAGTAGAGTCCCGAGGGACAGCTGGTCCCACGGCTGGCTCTGCAGTCTGCTCTCTCCAGTTCAGTGAGAGGCCACGGGAGACAAGGCAGGGCCCAGCTGCTGCTCCCGGCTGCAGCAGCTGTGGGACTGAGCTGAGTAGACCCTTGGTCAGCACAGAGCCCAGCAGCTTGCGCTGACCTCATGCTCCAGGACCACACGGAATAGAAGTACTTGCTGTTCTTGGCTGGGTAAAGCCAGGTGCAAATCCATCGGTCCGCCTCCTTTCAACAGGTGTGGTCTAATTTCCCTCCCCTGGAAACAGAGCCGGCTTGACCAAGAAGCTATGGTGGCACTTACGCTCAGGGACTTCTGGGGCTAGATCATAGGAACCATTGCAGCTTCTGGCACAGTCCCTTGGACCCCAGCCACTCTGTGTGAGGAAGACCAAGCTGCCCAAGGAAGGGCCAGGGGGAGCTCGGGCTGTCAGCCAGGTGAGGGCCCCATCTTGGCAGTGGATCTGCCTGCCCTCTCAAGCCATTTCAGCCAGGGAGTTACTAACTAGCCATCCTCCAAGCCTTCCCTCAATCACCTGACCCTACATTCACAGAATATAGCAATGGTTGTTATAACCCACTGAATTTGAGGTCATTTGTTAAAAATTAGTAGATGACTAGAACACAATTTCTTTGAGTTTCTACTATCTGGTAGGCACCAAAGTAGGTGCTTGGTTATCTGCCATCTTCCTAAGAGCCTTCATGAGGTAGGTAAGTAATCATACAAATGTGAGGATTAAATTAAGACTTTGGCCTCAGGCATATTAAGAAACTCACCCAGCCCTGGCCAGTGGGGCTCAGTTGGTTGAGCATCGTCCCTGAGCAAAGATCACCAGTTGAATTCCCGGTCAGGGCACAGGCCCAGGTTGCAGGTTGGGTCCCCGGTCACAGTGTGTGCCAGAGGAAACATCTCTCTCTCTCTCTCTCTCTCTCTCTCTCTCTCTCTCTCTCCTTCCCTCCTTCTCTTTTCCTCTCTCTAAAAAAAAATCAATAAAAAACATATTAAAAAAAAAACTCACCCAAAGTCACACGGGAACTCTGTTTTGTCTGTCTCCAATATCTTTTATGATAAGGAAAGCCCTTTAGGGGAAGAATCCACAAAATACGCTAGGGATCATATAGGTGGGAGAAGAGTAGAGTGAATGGCGAGTGTGTCTGGGTACACCTCAGATTCCCCCTGAAAAGAAAAGTTGTAGGCGATCAGAATTTTCATGAACATATGGTCTCCTGGCTGCAGTGTGACCCGGCTCTGGGACTGAATAGAAGAAAAAGGAGGGAATGCTTTCACAATGCACATTTGTTTCCATAGGTCCTACTATGTGTCACCATTGCTTCAGGTACTTCACCTGCCAGGTGACCCCAGGCACGTTTCCTTACATTTGTGCTTCATTGTTTACAAACTACTTTACCCACATGCTCAGTTAGTCATGAGAGCAGATGCTTGCCCTGGGGAGCAAACAGAGCCAAATCAATCACCCAATAATTCATATTTATCAGGCACCACCTATGTGATTGAGAAATAGGACTCACCCTTGCTTCCCTGGCACCACTGGCTTGCTGGTTTCCCTTTGCTCTCTTTGTATGTTGTATTGTAATGGCTTAAAGGTGTTTCTCACGTGAGTCTGTAAGTTTCTCTTGCATACCCAGAGCCTAAGTGCAGTGCTTGGGGCTGAAGAGGCAAGTGCTTCCAGTGGGATGGAAAGAAGAAAGGGAGGAAGGGAGGAAGGGAGGAAGGGAGGGAGGGAGGGAGGGAGGGAGGGAGGAAGGGAAGGAGGAAGGGAGACCGGGAGGGAGGGAGGGAGGAAATGAGTTCTGGAAGCCAGGTCCAAAATGGGTCTTTCGGGCTAAAATCAAGGTGTCGACAGATTGGCATTCCTTCAGAGCAGAACCTTGCCTCCTCTAGATCTCAGAAGTCGCCTCCATTCCTTGGCTCGAGCCCCCTCCTTGAATCATTCCAACCTCTCTGTTTTGGTCATCATGTCCCTTTCTGTGTCCCTCCTGCCTCCCTCTTATGAGGACCCTTATGGTTACTGTGGGCCACTGAATATTCCAGGATAATCTGCTCCTCTCAAAACCCTCCCTCATACCTGCAAAGCCCCATTGGAATGTAAGCTAATATATCTGCAGGTCCTAACAATTCACTGGGTGCTTGATTTGGCTACGGACTCTGCTCTTCTACACATATTACACACTTCTTTGCGTAATACAAATGTCTGGGGTAGATGCTACTACTATTCCCACTTCACTGATGACAAAATTAAAACATCAAGTAACTTCCTCAGTGGGCCCAGGATTTGAATCCAAGTCTGTCTCATCAGCAAGAGTCCATGATTTTAACCCAATGATTCCCAACCCTTGATTTACTTTAGAACCAAATACGAAGTTTTGGGAAAAAAATTTGTTTGGAACCCAAATGTCTAGATTTTGATTTATTCGGTCTGAGGTGAGGGCCAGGTTGAGAACTATTAACCAGATTTTAAAAGAGCCCCTCATTAAAAAAAATTGGAAAATTGCTCACCTCTCATTCCACGTTCATGCACAGAAATGCAAGGATGAATTCATATAGCTGTATAACAAACTAAAATAAGATGGCTGGCTTCATAATGTGTGGTAAATGACATTCTTAAGCAATTACATGTTGATCTTGGTTATTCATACTATTTTATATTAAACATGAACATATTTATGCTTGATTAGCAATTTTTTAAAAAATCTGAATTTTAAAGGTGTAGTATTCTGATAACACATCCTTTTGGATTGCTGTTTTTTTTGTTGTTGAGAAAAGATATAATGTAAATTAGGGATAATGAATCAAACAATGAAAATAGACAGCTCTGGTAAAACAACATCTAGCCAACAATTCCACCCAAACAGGAGGAAGTTAACTTCCAAATTGCCAGGGGAGTTAGGGCTTTGTTATGTTGAAGTTTATATTTTGGTGACTTTTTTGCAAGGTCAAGGTCATTGAGAAAGGTCAAGGATATAGTGGGGATGATTTATATTTTCCCCTTTAAACTCAGAATAAGAATAATTAACCCTTAAGTTGGGCAACTCATCTTCAGCAAGTAGGTACTCCTATCCAATTTCTAGATCTAAGCTGAAATTGTCACTGTACATTAAAGTAGCATTTTGTGCCTCTAAAATAATTTTCTCATCTGCTTATTAGCTAGCTGTGTGACCTGGGACACTGAATATCTCTCAGGCTTACTTTCTATATTGAGCAATAGAAATAATACCCAAGGTTCTTCCCAGTGCTACTTAGAATTGAATGAGTTCATTTGTGCAATTAGTGCCAGGAACAGAGAAGGGACTCACTAAGTAGCAATTTCCCCCTTTTCTATGAATGCTCATGTTAGGTTAGTGGAAATAGGGCATGACTCAAACATATTCTTGAAGGATCTTGGGGCTATCTTTTTCCCATTAAAGTTTGAAAGTATTCCTTTTAAATACTCTATTCAAATTGTACCCTCACCATAAGCCTTGTTGATTGGCTCAGGCCCTGTGTCAAATAGCACAAGACCACATAAGACCTGCATGCGTGTGTGTACATCAGTCAGGATGGGCTAAGTTATACTGCAATAACAAATATCCCCAAAATTCAGTGGCTCCCACAGCACGTTTATTTCTTGCTCATCTCCATCTGTGGTCACCACACTCTGGTATGTTGTCATGGCAGAGGGAAAGGGAGAAGGGATATTGATATTGATATTGATACTGATACTGATATTGATATTGATATTGATATTGATATTGACTTACCGCTTCTACTCAGATGTAACCATGCCACTTTTGCTCTGTCCCATTGGCCCTACCTAACTTCAAGGGAGATATGAAAACCTACCACATGCCTGGAACCAGAAATAGTTGGAGAATTGCATTAATGACAACCACAGGGATCTTAGTTTATAGAGCATTTGTCACAATGATTATCCAATGTAATTCTCACATATCCAAGATGGCAATCAATTAATTAAATGTGATAATTATAAGGTGTCATCAAACACCCACAAAACAGAAAACCCAATATAAACAGTTTGAATAACTGCCCACTATTCTGAGTGAAAGCACCTTGAGTCTATGAAATAGGTGTGAACCTGCTGTTTGCTAAGGTTTTCCTGCCTCTTCATGTTTCTTGTGAATGGAATTCTCATTTTGCTGTTTGTTTGTAAAATGGCCTCTGAGTGATGGCCTATTACATTATCACCTTAAATATTGTGATCTTGCAATATTGGAGGAAAAACTGGCCTTCCCCCTAACCCCCCTTAAAATAGCCCAGCATGCATCATTAACACATCACGTCTTGGGGAGATTTAATTTGGACTGTATCGTGATTTTTGCCATAAGGACTGACTTTAGATTCTGAGGGAAGATGAGGCGCTACTTTATCCCTGCCCAATAGCAGAGGAGATAAACAAAAGCTCAACAGTCAAGTAATAGGACACTGAGCAAGAAGGTGGCTCAGCAACCCCATCTCCTCAAGGCAGGTCCCTGTGAAGGGATAGCTTAGATTCATCTGAAGACTGTGTGGCTCCCCTCAGCTGGCTCCCGGCTCAGTGTCACAGCCACCTCGTCTGTCCACAGGGAAGATGAGAGTGTGAGAGGCATGAGGCTAAGAGCCGGCTTCACTGTTCTAAGTTAACCTGGGCAAGGAAGTGTTTTGGTTTCAAAGCCTGACAGCTAGGTGTCAGGCATCTGGGGAAAAGAAAAGAGAGAGGGTTTATCAAGCCCATTTAATTATGCCAACAGAGCTCAAGTGAGATTTGTTAAAAGATGGACAATTGGATGGCCCATGTATGTCAATGTCAGGGAAAGCTCACTAAACTTCACTCCTCTGATCACATCAATAAATATTTATCTTTTCTACATCTACACAAATAATTCATTAGCCGGCACTATGATGTGACCGCAATATTTTCTCTCAATTTAAAGATTAAGGGGGAGTGGTCAACTTCTAGATCCAGATAACCTGAAAACTTCCTGTAACACCTGGAAATGAGGGGGAATAAATATAACATATAATAAATATAAATATATGTAATATCTTTCAAAATGCATAGCTTAGCAAGTCAGAAAAAAATAGGGGAAACCTCCAGGATGAGGATGGAAGGACTAAAAATTCAAATATGGACGTGTGACTGTGTGTGCTTTTGACATTTGCCAAACTTGGCAAGACGGGCAGGAGGAAAGGGAGTAAAGGGTGGAGTAGAACTGCAATTTCTATATAAATCCTGGGCCTTCAAAAGAGCACATCCCAAGTGGCACAGATATGACAATGAGGTTCATCTTTGCAGTGGGGCAAGGTGGATTAAGAGAAAGAACATTGCTCTAGATATAGTTGGCTTTGGGGCCCCACTCTCCCCACCTCCACCCCCACCTTCAAGAGTTCAAAGCCAGCTCTCTCACTTACTAGTCCTAGACCTTACTTAGGTTACATAACCTCACTGCACCTCACTTTCCATGGCTGGGCTGTTGTGAAGAACTGATAAATTTAGTGCCTAAGTGCAGAATTAGCACAGTACCTGGTACATAAAAGTCATGTTCAAAAAATGGTAGGGCAAATCAAAACATGTTTTTCTTCCACAATTATACAGTTTTCCTTAAGAAAGTCAAGAATGGTAATGTATTATCTGAAAAATTATGAGAAATATACTTCATCTTTAGTTGTAAAGGACTAAGATTTCACATCTATATCAGATGCTAATCAAATGATCAGAAAAAAGGCTGAAATTAACAAAGGTTAAAACTTCCTCCAGCCCGGCCCATGGCTCAGTGGTTAAGTGTTGACCTATGAAACAGGAGGTCATAGTTTGATTCCCGGTCAGGGCACATGGATTGCAAGCTCGATCCCCACTATGAGGTGTGCAGGAGACAGCCAATCAATGATTCCTCTCATCACTGATGTTTCTCTCTCTCTCCCTTCCTCTGTGAAATAAATTAAAAAATATATTAAAAAACAAAACAAAAAACTTCCTCCACAGTTAAATCACTCCATTAATACACACAAATGTTTTGAGTAACTATTATCCAAATTCTTTTAATGCCATTGGCATAATTGAAAAAGTTTTTTGTTTACTAGAGGAAAGCAGAAATCAACTGGAACTATACATAAAAGCTACAATCTACATATATAAAGAGCCAGGGGCTGTCACATCCGAAACAACCAAACGGACAACCAAACAGGCTGAGTGGGACGACCAGGCCGGCAGGGGGGTTAGTGAGGGACAACCGAACGACTGAACAAGCAGGCTGAGTGGGGCAAAAAAGCCGGCAGGGGAGTTAGTGAGGGATGACCAAATGACTGAACAGCAGGCTGTGTGGGGCAATCAGGCCAGCAGGGGGTGCATTTGGGGGCAAACAGGCCTGCAGGGAGGGCAGTTGGGGGTGACCAGGTTGGCGGGGGAGCCAGTTAGGGGCGATCAGGCAAGCAGGCAGGTGAGCAGTTAGGAGCCAGCAGTCCTGGATTGTGAGAGGGACATTAGACTGCTGGTTTAGGCCCTGGGGATCGGGCCTAAACCGGCAGTCGGACATCCCCTGAGGGGTCCCAGATTGGAGAGGGTGCAGGCTGGGCTGAGGGGAACCCCCCCCCCCATGCACGAATTTTGTGCACTGGGCCTGTAATTTATATATATAAAAGCCAAGCGACCAGAACGCCAGAATGACGGAAACAACCAGAATGACAGGAACAACCAGTTTCTTTGACACATACTGTGGCTCCGATCAGCCCCACCCCCACCCCATTTGGGGGCGGGGCTGGGCAGCCGACCTCCTGCACGCCCCCGGCCCCCGGCCCAGCCCTGATTGGCCCCAATCGGGGCGGGCCGGCTAGACCCCACCCTTGCATTAATTTGTGCACTGGGCCTCTAGTGTATATAGAACTGCAGGTGGGGGGAAAGCCAGCCCTTAGAATGAAAAAATAACAAACTGAATGACCTTGAAGAGAACCTTGTTATCTCAGGGCCTTGGTTTTCTTCAAAAAGGAAGGTTTGAAATCGGTGACTTCTGAGGTCCCTTCCAGCACTGGTTTTATGACAGCTGTTGCAATTGCAACAGAAACTATCCATCCATGTGGCCCACCCATTCCACAAAAACAGCACGCAGAGTATCATTTTAAGAGCCAGAGTCAAATTCTTGTTTTGCATTTTTAAGTGCTACATGACTGCTAAGGTTAAAACTCTTCTCTGTCGAAAATCAAAAAGGTTGAATTATCAGGATAAAACCCATCACCACTGCAAACCAGAGTGGATTTTCAACCTAGTAGAAAATGTGAATTGACAAAGCAAGCAAAAATTAGCTCAAATAGCTACCGTCCTCCTCTCGAAGTGGTAAAAGCTTGGTGGGTTAAGTGTTCACTGTTTATGCGACAGGAAGCAATGAGGCTGGAAGCATGAATGTGATATGCCTGGAAACTAGATCTTCATGTGGCAGGGAGGGAGTCTTCTCCAAGGAAAAATAACACAACTAAAAATTAAAAATTCTTAATCAGAATTGTTTTCATAGGATTTTAATATTTTGGGGGGGGGGGTGATGCATGGAGGTAAATCACCAACTGTCAATCATGTGTTTGCAAATTTTGATTTTTACAGTCACTGGATTTATACACTCTTAGAGCTGTTTCTCCATGTACACAAACAGTGAACGACATTGTCCAAATAACTTTTGAGTAAAGTGGAACTTAGAAAGAAAAATCACTTGAGAAATCAAATCTCATAGAATGGAAATACTTTAACCACAGCATTCACACATCCCAAATGCTTATCTAAACAGAGGCAATGCAATTAAACTGCCTTCACTCAAAATGGTGTCAGAAGGCAACTACCCTATTTACTAGCCACTGATAAGTTATGACAACACTATTTCACAGCCTGTCACTGTATTTCTTTTAACCCCAGGGTGCTAGGATTCAGGATTTCCTCAACACTAGGACTTATCTCAAATGCTTTACTGCAAAACGTTAAAAAAAGAAAAGAAAAGAAAAAAAAACTTGGGTTGCAATGCCATATTCAGAAACAAGATAATGACTTGGAAATAAAAAGTGGGAAAGTGATGAACTGCCATTTATCAGTTTTTCTAAGTTTTCTATTTTTTAATAGAGAGAAAAACTTTAAACTTAAAACATAAATCTAGCAGGCCTAGAAATTCTTTGGGAAACCCCCAAAACACAGAAAACTTTTAGGTTACATCTAGTAGGTCTTTGTATTGTTCCAATATAATAATAAAAAGTATGACTTTATGATCAATAGTGCTTATAGTTACTAACCAGATAAATTTGGCAAAAGATACCTAATATTCCTTCTCACAATGAAAATGAATTTCGAAAAAATGATTCTCTAGATATCATGTCTATATAAACACTATCAGTATTATTGTTTAATATAAAATATAGTAAGCGAATATCCTTACTTATGTCATTGAATTAGTTTTCTTTCTTCTCTTATAGGACTGGAGAAAGATGCTACAGAAGAAAAATAATTGTTACTGCCAAACAGTTCAAAAAGTCTGAGTGCTCCTGCTACCTAACTGCACTGCCCCCCACCCTGCAGACAAATACTTTGGCCACTTACTTGCAATCAGACACCGACTTCAGCAGATCACAGCACAGCATCTGTAACAGTCACAGGTACCACACTGTCAATTCACAGACATAGTGTGGATTATCCACGAAAAGCTTGGGATTCCTTCAATACATTCTTTCTGGAAACTTCCCTGCAAGCATCCCTGACATATAATCAGGGAAGGAAAGCATTCAGGTTACCTAAATCTTGTCATATTCATAGCAGTATCATTGTTTACACAGGGGAATCTCTTTCCAGGTGACTTTAAGAATCCTAGAGTCGGGGTTTAAGCAAGACAGACCTCTCTGGACAGAGGTCACAATAAATATTTCAGAGTCCAAGTAAAGACTGGGCTTAGTCAGCCCCCAAGAAATACCTCCCACTTACAGGTACATCCACTGGACCAGGTATTACTTATATGTATTATTTCGTTTAGTGAAATCAATCCTTTGGCAAAGTTTTTAAACCAACCCCCCCTTTATAAACAAGGAGGCAGGTTAGGTAAGTCACAAATCCACGATCTCACTGCTGGATAAGGGCAGACTTGGGATTTAAAACCAATCAGTTCATTACCTTACTCCTTGGACAACCTGGTTTCTGGCCTACTGGGTAAAAGGACAGGCCTAAGAACTTCCACCATCTCAGTGAGGAAGGAAACAGCACTATTAAAAAGAAAACACAAGAAACCACAGCAGCAGTTTTAAATATCTGCTGAAAAGGAGCACACCAGGCCTAGGGTTAGGTACGCGGGACACAGTGACATATGGCTTGGCTCCAGCCCTTCCTAAGGTCAGCCGCAGAGTCCATGACGATCACCGTGACGGCCCAAGTCCTGGGAAAAGGCATTTCATGTGAATAAGCAAGAAGACATGTGCTTCATTTTGGTTTGGAAGTATTTTTCATCCTAACACTGAACAAGTGACTTTTGGATTCTGTTCACTTCTGACTAGGATGTCACTGATCCATTCTAAAACATAATCAAGAAACGGTTGAGCTGAAAATCCATGCTGTAATAAAGAAGCAGGTCACAAGTAACACAAGATCGCCTTTTCAGACCGCTGTCTACACACACTTAGAAACCTGGGATGCAGTGCAGTTTCCTTCCCCATTTTCTTGTGAACATTAAACCAGAATGGAGAACCAGACTCACCTCACTCACACAGGTGACTAATAGGTAATGTGGGTGAAATGTTCTAAACTTGTGATGAGCACCGCAATCTTAGAACCAGGCAGCGAATCAAGGACTCCATTCAGGCTTCATGGATGCAAACTCCCCAGTACACAGCCCAGGGTAAACGCATGAAGTCCAGGAGTGGTTAGAGGCAGAGCGAGGAAGGCCAGCTCTGCTGGTAAACAGCCACATGACCTTGGACCTCAGAACTTCTGGAAAAAAATGGGAATAATGCAATCTACCATAGAGTTATGAGGTTCAGTTCTGATCAAGGACTATGAAGAGTTCCTGTAAATTACTTGAAAAGTTGCTGTTGATTGCTTCCTTTCTACACCAGGCCCCATCATTTCTACTCCTTCAGTCTGTCTACCTTACTATTTCTTGGTGAAAATATGACTAGACTACAACTGTCCAAGAGCTATCTGTTCCTTGAAAAAGTCCTCTGTATTAAAAGGCACCAATATTATTATACTAGAGGTCCAGTGCACGAAATTCATGTACAGGGGTAGGGGGCGTTCCTCAGCCCTGCCTGCACCCTGTCGAATCCAGGACCCCTTGGAGGATGTCTGACTGCCGGGATGGGGGCCTAAACTGGCAGTCGGACATCCCTCTCACAATCCAGGGCCGCTGGCTCCTAACTGCTCGCCTGCTTGCCGGCCTGATCACCCCCTAACTGGCTCCCTGCCTGCCTGATCACCCCTAACTGCCCCTGCTTGCTGGCCTGGTCGCCCAACTGGCCCCCTGCCAGCCTGGTCGCCCCCTAACTGCCCCCATGCCAGCCTGGTCACACCCTAACTGTCTGGAAGCTGGATGTCTGGAAGATGTCCAGTCGACTTGGTCTAAATGGTATATTACCCTTTTATTAGTATAGATTCTCTACCAGAGGCCTGGTGCACGAATTCGTGCATGGGTGGGATCCCTCAGCCTATCCAGCAATCGGGGCCAATCGGGGCCTGCCAGCCGAGAGGAGGGACTGCAAGGAGGTTGGCCGGCTGTGGGAGAGCACTGACCACCAGGGAGCAGCTCCTGCATTGAGTGTCTGCCCCCTTGTGGTCAGTACATATCATAGTGACCAGTCAACCAGTTCGATTGACCGGTTGTAACGGTTGTTTAGGCTTTTATATAAATACTAGAGGCCCGGTGCACAAAAATTTGTGCACTCAGGGGTAGGGGGGTCCCTCAGCCCGGCCTGTGCCCTCTCACAGTCTAGGACCCCTCGGGGGTGATCACTTGCTGGCTTAGGCCTGCTCCCCGGGGGATTGGGCCTAAGATGGCAATCAGACATCCCTCTGGCAGCCCGGCAGCCCTCGGGGAATGTCCATTTGCCAGTGGGAAGCAGACCTAAGCTGCAGTCAGACATCCTTAGCACTGCTGAGGAGGTGGGAGAGGCTCCCACCACCACCGCTGTACTGGCAGCAGTCAGCCTGGCTTGTGGCTGAACAGAGCTCCCCACTGTGAGAGCGAACTGACCACCAGAGGGCAGCTCCTGCATTGAGCGTCTGCCCCCTGGTGGTCAGTGTGTGTCATAGTGACCAGTCATTCCCAGTCTTTCTGCTGTTAGGGTCAGTTTGCATATTACCCTTTTACTATATAGGATAGAGGCCTGGTGCAAGGGTGGGGGCCGGCTGGTTTGCCCTGAAGGGTGATCCAGATCAGGGTGGGGGTCCCGCTTGGGTGCCTGGCCAACCTGGATGACGGGCTGATGGCTGTTTGCAGCTGGTCACACCCCCTTCAGGGTGGAGGTCCCCACTGGGGGTGCCTGGCCAGCCTGGTTGAGGGGCTGGGGGCTGTTTTCAGGCTGGTGGGCAACTGAAGCTCCCAGCCTCTTTTTTTTTCTTTTTGTTTTATTCTGGGATTTATTTACCTTCTATAGCTGTCACTGGAGCTGAGAGCCCGCTCCAGCTCTGAGGCTGTTGCCGGCTGAAAGCAGGTACCTGGGGTTTGTTTAGCTTCTATAATTGCAACATTGTTGCATCCGGAGCTCGGAGCTCAGAGCTGAGTGCGCAGGCGGGGAACCTTGGCTTCCTCCATCACTGGAGCAAGCAAGCCTTATGTTCGCTTCAGCTGCGTGGCTGCCGGCGGCCATCTTTGTTGGCAGTTAATTTGCATATTGCCCTGATTAGTCAATGGGAAGAGTAGCGAAGTTACGGTTAATTACCATGTTTGTCTATTATTAGATAGGATATATAGATAGTAATAAAACAAAAACTGGGGGACATGTGGGCTTCAAAGACTTTTCTTACCCCTGATAGACAAAATGCCTTGTACAAAACTGTTATGAGCAAATCCTGATTATATTCCTTTAAGGAAACATCTCTAAAGCAGTCGGCATTTCTGTACAAACTCCTGTCTCTTTAAGGTAATTAAATGTCTCTAGAAAGGAAAGTACAGACTCAGACATTCACTGCTTTAAAAAACACTTTTAAAGCCATCAGTCAAGGCCCTTTTATATGTAAAAAGGTAAACAATTAACAAAAAATGTAAATTATTTTAAATCACAAAAAATTCATTAATGTAATTAATCTTGGGAAGTAGCGATTATACAAAACAGCCAAATATAGCTTTAAGAATTTTTAAGTAAACTTTTTACAAAAGTCTTGTGTTTTTGTACTAAGCAGAACTGAGATTGTACAATGAAAAGCAAATACACTAACAATATAACTCACTATTGCAATTCAGAGATGAAATTCTAATCATTTCATTTATAATTTTCTGCAAAGGTTTATCTATCATTCTGTAAAAATGAAAATGTTATTTATTTACTTACTTACTTACTTGGCTGTGGAGCCTTATCTATTGGTTTTATGTTAATCCTCACCCGAGGATATTTTTTCATTATTAGAGAATGGAAGGGAGGGGGACAGAGAGAAACATCAATGTGAGAGACACATCAATTGGCTGCCTCCTGCATGGGCCTGACCCGGGCCAAGGCTGGAGCCTGCAACAGAGGTAGTACATGCCCTTGCCCAGAAGTGAACCTGGGACCCTTGAGTCTTCTGGCTGATGCTCTATCCACTGAGCCAAACCAGCTAGGGCAAAATGTTTCCCTTTTAAAGAAGAATGTCAGCACTGGTAAACTCTCCCTGTGAGTCAAATACTAGGTTCTTTGATAATGCACTAAATAATGCCAGTGTCAGAACTGAAATAGTTGCCGGCATCTAATTCAGCAATTCTACTTCTTTATATAATCTAGATTAAAACACACACCTCTGTACGCATTAAGTGTCCACTGTTTTAAACAAGTCACTCCTTAAAAATGATAGCATACCTCACTTCATTCTGATCATGCCTCAGATTTCGCTAAGTCAAAATTTCTTTCCATTGTCCAACAATTCTTATGAATAATCTGAGGACACCTCTTAGTAAAGATGTCACATCTATTACTGAGTAGAATGTGTTCACCAATGCCACTAACCCCAAATCATAGGGACACAAGACATAAGGTGAATTCACAGATACTAGATGAGTTCATGAGTGTAATTGCCACCCAAATCTAAGTACACAGAATGCATTAAACTTTAAGTTTAAACAACATTGGCTTTGCTTAATGATTTTTAATGGCAAGATCTTAGACTTTACCACTTCTCTTCATGTCTACAATACCCCTCCTCAACAACCCAGGGTTCCTTGCTTTCAGTTCCCAGGCTACAGATCACTGAAGAGAAACCTAGAGAGTGAACCCATTACCAACTTCTAAACCCAACCATGACCTGAAGATCCCTTTGATAATCCATAGCTTATTTACAAGTCACTTGGCAAGTCTCATTCAGACATTATTCCCCTCCTTTAAAGATGAAATTAATCTGCCTCACACTCAGATCAAAATACCACGTCCCCCCCGCCCCCCCCCGCCAAGAAGCCATGAGTTGAGGTCCTTAACCCTTTCTTCCATTTTTACCTTAGTTTTCTCATTCCCAAGGTTAATGCCACCAAGCTTGGCCTCAACCCATCTCTCCTAAGATACCGGTGGAAGTTTTGCCTAAATGTAAAGTAGTTTCTTTCTTTAAAAAAGTATCCCTCTTCTTAATGTGCCTTAACTACACAATTTCTTGTAAAAAGTAGCCTTTGCAAGCCTTTTCCACTTCAAAACCCCTTGTACTTAGCTGTGCCTACGGAGGCCACCAGGTAGGTGGGATAAATGTATGCAAGGGGATCTGGCAAACTGAAGAACATGTGCCTACATACAGGGGACAGCCACAACCCCAATGCGGATAGCTAGGCCTGTTCTTACCCAGTCTATGGACAATTTGGAAACTATGTGATATCTCTCCATTTCTAATCAGTGCCTCTGATTTAACACATCCCACGAGGCTCCATAAAACAGATGGTCAGGCTACATCTGGTTCTTTTGGCTACCTGTTTGCAGCCTTTATCTTAAACTTACATAAGCTGGATAAAGAACAAACTACCAACTCCAACTGCCTTCTAGATTCGTAATACTCAACCATCCTATCTCCCTGCAACATGAAACTGCACTATCTAAATTGTTTTCTTTCTTGGTCTCCCCCTCACCTACCCCATTCCCTTATTAAAGGTTCTATACTTACAATCTCTGACACTTTTTTCTAGGTGGCAACTAGGATCTCAATAAATGATCTGAAGCTTAGATTCAGTTGGCACACCAAGCCATTCATTCATGTATATACCCTAAACCTGGCAATTTCTCTTTAAATTAAACAAACATGTACTTATCACACAACCTAGCATTCCTAAGTATTTACCCAAGAGCAATATAAACCTATAGGCCAGTATACAAATTACTTGCCTGCAGCCCCTCCCTCAGGCTGGCACCGCCCCCAATTGGCCCCCCCACCCAGCCAATCTCGTGTCCCCTCCCCCCTGCCAGCCTGGCCCCAATACGCCCCTATCAGGGCGTGGCAGGACGCCACCTGTGCACGAATTTATGCACTGGGCCTCTAGTTCAGCAATAAAAAGGAATGTACTGATATTATCAATATGGATGACTCTTAAAAGCATTATTCCCAAGAAACGAGACACAAAACACTATACAGAGTATGATTCCATTTATGACCTGGGGAAAAACAAAAAGGACAGAAACTTTAGTGGTTGCCAAGCACTTGGAGACAGGTAGAAATCCTTTGGGGGTGATGAAAATGTTATATATGGATTATGATGATTATACAACTGTATACATTTGTCTGTAGAGCTAAAAAGTGATACTTTATTGTATGTGTACCTCAAAGCCCAACTTTAAAAACTTCCTATGGCCTGAAATGCTGTTAATCATCTAAGAAATCCTTAGTGCTGTTGAAATTAATGTTCTGAAGTCCAACTAAACCTCCTTCTCCTTCACAAAAATTTTCCGATTACTTAATGCAGAAGTTATAAACAGCTGCCCAGAATCCAGCTTTACGAGTTTGAGAAACAAAAAATAGAGAAACCCTGTAATTTCAAACAAGATTTTATATATAAATTTGGATTTCCAGCTTTGTTTGAAATACTATCAGGAATTCTGACATGACAAG